ACGCACCACCATGCCCAGCTGATTTTTTGTATTTTTAGTAGAGACGGGGTTTCACCGTGTTGACCAGGATGGTCTCGATCTCTTGACCTCGTGATCCACCCGCCTCGGCCTCCCAAAGTACTGGGATTACAGGCGTGAGCCACCGCGCCCGGCCCGTTTTTCATCAGTATAGTGTTTACATGCCTGAGTTTAATTCTGACTCTAGGACTTGCTTGCTGGGTGATCATCAGTGAGTTACATAACCCTTCTGTGCCTTAATTTCTTCATCAGTGAAATGGGAATAAAAACAGTAACTTGGCTTGGCACGGTGGCTCACGCCTATAATCCCAGCTCTTTGGGAGGCCGAGGCAGGTAGATCACGAGGTCAGGGGTTCGAGACCAGCCTGGCCTACATGGTGAAATCCCATCTCTACTAAAATACAAAAAATTAGCCAGGCATTTTGGTGTGCACCTGTAGTCCCAGCTACTTGGGAGGCTAAGGCAGGAGAATTGCTTGAACCCAGGAGGTGGAGGTTGCAGTGAGCCAAGATTGTGCTACTGCACTCCAGCCTGGGCAACAGAGTGAGACTCCATCTCAAAAAAACCAAAAACCCCAAAAAGCAATACCTATTACAGCATTGTTAGATATGTCCATGAAGCCCTTAGCATAGTGCACAATACATGCCGTGTCTTCTTATTACGGTTCTACCAAGATCCTGCGTTACTGAAGTCCCCTCTGCTCCAGGCTTTGAGTTCATACCCTCTGGAACTCTGGAACTTTAATCCAACCACTTTCCCTTTCTGGGTCTCTGTGTTTCTGCCTGAAAAGAAGACCTGCATCTTGCCAAAGAAGTTCTGAAATCTCTGCTCACCCTGACAATGACTTTCCAAAAATCTGGGGCTCCGAGACTCGGCTCTCTCTTATATGTGGGCAGAGCGAATGTGTATCTGTCCTCCTCACCCTCCAGGGCCTAAAACTCCACTCCTGCAGACATGCCGTTTGGGGCTTTGCTGCCTTCGGAGACTTTCCTATAAATACAAGTACCCCGGGATCAGATCACAAGTTATTAGTCATTCACACCTTAGCAGGAAAGATTTTAAGATGGCTTCTCCATCCCAGTGTGCTTCTCGCTCCTAGTAGGGGCTTCTTGACGTGCTGAATGAATTAGAGGCCTGTCTAGCTCCCAAGCACCAAGCACGGACTACTCGCATGGCACTTACAGAACACTTCATGTAAATTATTACTAACCCTTGCCTCAAGTCTGCCAGGGAGATGTTTTCATTTCTGTTTTATAGTGAGGAGTCGGGGCTCAGCATCTAAGTGGCTCACAGCTACTGGTCTAATGCAGGCTGGCCTCCCTCTTAACTGAGCAAGGCTTTCAGCTCTTCCAGTGGGCCTAAGCCTGCTGCCGAGGGTTCTCTGGGCATTAAGGGCAGGGAAGGGGCATCTGAAGGAGGATGTGGTGATATCTTGGTTCTGGGCAATGCCCCTGGCTGGGGCAATGAAGAGGATATATCAGTTTGGATTCTGTACATAGTTCTAACCTTCCTTCCCTCTCTGCTCAACTCACAGCAGCCTGAGATGGCATTTAAAATAAAAATACCTCTGGCCAGATGGGGTGGGTCACACTTGTAATCCCAACACTTTGAGAGGCCAAGGCAGGAGAACTGCTTGAAGCCAAGAGTTCAAGACCAGCCTGGGCAACATAGGGAGACCCTGTCTCTACAGAAAATAAAAATAAGTTAACCTGATATGGTGGCATGCACCTGGACTCTCAGCTGCTTGGGAGGCTGAGCTGGGAGGACTGTTTGAGCCCAAAAGTTTGAGGTTACAGTGAGCTATGATTATGCCACTGCACCGTAGTCTGGGCAACAGAGGGAGACCCGGTCTCAAAAACAAATAAATAAAAATAGGCCGGGCAGGGTGGCTCACGCCTGTAATCCCAGCACTTTGGGAGGGCGAGGCGGGCAGATCATGAAGTCAAGAGATCGAGACCATCCTGGCCAACATGGTGAAACCCTGCCTCTACTAAAAATACAAAAATTAGCTGGACATGGTGGCACGTGCCTGTGGTCTCAGCTACTCAGAAGGCTGAGGTGGAAGAATCTCTTGAATCCAGGAGGCGGAGGTTGCAGTGAGCCGAGATTGCACCACCGCACTCCAGCCTGGCAACAGAGCAAGACTCCATCTCAAAAATAAATAAATAAATAAATAAATAAATAAATAAAATAAAATAAAAATAATACTAATGTATAATAATTGTAGCTATCCCTCAGATGTCTGTAGAGGGCATTACAGCTCATGTCTCGTGTTCTCGTCTTTCCCTCACCCAGTCCTCTCACAGCCCTGTGTTATGGCCAATAATTTTGTCATTGCACAGATGAGGAAACTGAGGTTCATGTAGCTAGACAGAAACATGGCTGCTGGCCCATATTCTGTTTTCAAAAGCTCATGCTTTCGAGGGTCAACCCAATTAAATGCTGGAGGATAAGGCAAAGTGGACCGGGGATTGCTTCATTTGCTTAGTGAAAAAAACAAACAGAACTAAATGTTCTAAGGTTGGCTGGGATTAAGTGCATGGATGAGATGACCTTTGATGTCTTCTCTGTCCTGGTCCCTCAGACACTTTGGGTTTTCCCATTTTAACACTCCCTTGCCTAGGACACCTTTTTACTGGTTGGAATCCTATCTATGCACCAAGTCCAAAGACCCTCCCTCCTTTAGTAAGTCCCTGAGTGTCCCCAGAAGGCTGTTTTCTCCCTCCTCTAAGTGCTCTGAGGGCTGGCACTGGATTGCCTTTGCCATGGGGTTCTGCTGTCGTGAATGCAGGCCTAGTCTGCTCAACGGGAGGCCATGTATTCAGCATGTTGGTGAGATGCAGCACCTGGCCCAGGCCGTTCACACCAGCTCTAAGGGCAGGGAAGGGGCATCTGATGCTCTTGCTGCTCCCTGGTAAGGAGATGGGAAATCATGTTCAGTCCTGGGAGTGGGAAGGGGCAGAGCAGTTGACGGCCTCTACTGAGCGGCCAAGGACAAGGAGCTGCTGTTCCAAATAGCCTTTCTGCTCCCCAACCTGCCTCCCACCTAACAGGCTGGGTGCACACTCTACTGGGAAGAGAGACACACCCACCTGCATCGCTGTCCTCTGAGTCTCTCCCTGCCTTGTCCAGCATCCAGGGTCACCCCTAGTTGGGGAAGCTTCTGTGGCTCCCCCACGACAGCCTAGAATGGAGTGGGGTTCATGAACAAATGCAGAAGCTGGCCAGGTGTGGTGGCTCACGTCTGTAATCCCAGCACTTTGGGAGGCTGAGGCGGGCAGATCGCAAGGCCAGGAGTTTGAAACCAGCCTGGCCAACAGGGTGAAACCCCGTCTCTACTAAAAATACAAAAATTAGCTGGGTATGATGGCGCACTCCTATAATCCCAGCTACTCAGGAAGCTGAGGCAGGACAATCGCTTGAACTCAGGAGGCGGAGGTTGCAGTGAGCCAAGATAATGCCACTGTACTCCAGCCTGGGGGACAAGGCGAGACTCTGTCTCAAAAAACAAAAAAACAAACAAAAAAAACAACCAAAACCCAAAAAACAAATGCAGAAGCCAGGCTTGGGGACGTCAACCAACGTGTCCCGGGCCTGTGGCTGGGGAGTAGCTACGGCCGAGGTTCTCCCTGCTCTGGGAGCACCAGGAGTAGTGCTGGCTCAGGCAGGTGACAGGGCTCTCCTCTCTTTGAGCAGGTCCGGTGGCAGCCTTCAAGGTCGCCACGCCGTATTCCCTGTACGTTTGTCCCGAGGGGCAGAACGTCACCCTCAACTGCAGGCTTTTGGGCCCTGTGGACAAAGGGCATGATGTGACCTTCTACAAGACGTGGTACCGCAGCTCGAGGGGCGAGGTGCAGACCTGCTCAGAGCGCCGGCCCATCCGCAACCTCACGTTCCAGGACCTTCATCTGCACCACGGAGGTCACCAGGCTGCCAACACCAGCCATGACCTGGCCCAGCGCCATGGGCTGGAGTCGGCCTCTGACCACCACGGCAACTTCTCCATCACCATGCACAACTTGACCCTGCTGGACAATGGCCTCTACTGCTGCCTGATGGTGGAGATCAGGCACCACCACTGGGAGCACAGGGTTCACGGTGCCATGGAGCTGCAGGTGCAGACAGGTGAGGGCATCCTGCACATGGCAGCTGGGGAGTGTGCAGGGCTCCTGTCCGATGGTGTGACCATGCTGACACTGCTGGGCAGAGTGTGAGGCTGCATGGGTAACACCGGCACTCCAGGGAGTGTGTGGGTGAGATGGGTGGCCAAGGGTGCGTAGAGTGTGGGTGTGTAGTTAGCTGGAGTGGGGAGAGGGAGGGTGTACCTGGCTCCATCTGTGACAGTGAGACTTTTTCATGTGTGAGACTGTATGTACCTGGACTGGGAGTGTGCCTGCTCATGATGACATAGTGGCTGCCATGGGTATAGGCATCAGTGGAACTGATTGGTGCCCTGGGGCATGACTCAGTGGATGGCTGAATGGCTGTTGGGAATATATTTGTGTGTGTGTGTCTATCTGCCTGTCTGTTCAGGTGAGAGTGCAAGGGCCCATGGTTCAGACAGAGGTGTGGGTGCCGGCGGGTACCCACATGCACCTGGGGGTGGCATGAGAATGGGCAGGGTTAGAACATGCCAGGGTACGTGTGTGGGTGCACATGTGTGCAGGCTGCCACTGGGCCAACACTGCCAAGTAGGCACTAGCGTGAGAACCTGCGGCAGGAGGGGGACACTGGCCTGGACGAGCCTCCCTGGCCACCTAGGCCTGACACCCACCTAAAGGCCCTTCTGTTTGTTCCCACAGGCAAAGACGCACCATCCAACTGCATGGCGTACCCATCCTCCTCCCAGGAGAGTGAAAGTAAGGCACCACTCCCTTGCCCCTGCTGGGCTCTCTGTTCTCTTCTGTCCTCATCCTGCACCCAGACCCTGTTTGGAACTCTGGCCTCGTCAACCCCCGGTCCTCCTCCTCTGCTGCTGCAATCCTTTCTGCTTCCTCCTCGAGGCGGTCTCCAGAAGCGCATTCCCCTTCCATCTGCTCTGGAGTCTCTGCTCTTCTTGACTCCCTGGAGTGGCTGCGCCTTGGCAGTGACCTTTGGTCAGGGGAAGTGCCTCACCACAGGTACTGGGTGCCCCAGGCAGCTAAGTGCTGCTCTGCCCACCAGCCTCCTACAACTTGGGAAGGCTGGGGGTTCTCTTGGCCTAGGATTCAACTACAGATTTCTGTGTTCCGTGTTTCTGTGTTCTTCAGATGTTCTGTGTTGTAGGGGAGGGAGGAGGAAGAGGCTCAGGAAGGGGAACAGAACTACCTTTCCTGAGTTCCCACTGTGTGCCGGGCACTGGACTAAGTCCTTTTAAGTGTTATTATCTCAGGAATTTTTTTTTTTTTTTTTTTTTTTTTTTGAGACACAGTTTCACTCTGTCCCCCAGGCTGGAGTGCAATGGCTTGATCTGGCCTTACTGCAACCTCCGCCTCCCGGAATCAAGCAATTCTCCTGCCTCAGCCTCCCGAGGAGCTGGGATTACAGGCATGCGCCACCATGCCTGGCTAATTTTTGTATTTTTAGTAGAGAGGGGTTTCACCATGTTGGCCAGGCTGGTCTCGAACTACTGACAAGTGATTTGCCTGCCTGAGGCTCCCAAAGTGCTGGGATTATAGGTGTGAGCCACCACGCCTGGCCTCACTGATTTTTTTTTTTTTTTTGAGAAAGAATCTCGCTCTGTCACTCAGGCTGGAGTGCAGTGGCACAATCACAGCTCACTGCAGCCTCTAACTTCTGGACTCAAGTGATCCTTCTGCTTCATTCTCCCAGGTAGCTGGGACTACAGGCATGGACCACAGTGCCTGATGAATTTTTAAAAATTAGTTTTGGGGTGAGGCATGGTGACTCATGCCTGTAATCTCAGCACTTTAGGAGGCTGAGGCAGGCAGGTCACTTGAGGCCAGGAGTTCAAGACCAGCCTGGCCAACATGGTGAACCACTGTCTCTACTAAAAATACAAAAATTAGCCAGGCATGGTGGAGGGCATCTGTAATGCCAGCTACTTGGGAAGCTGAGACATAACAGTTGCTTGACCTGGGAGGCAGAAGCTGCAGCGAGCCGAGAAGCACCACTGCGCTCCAGCCTGGGCGACAGAGCGAGACTCTGTCTCAAAAAAAAAAGTCATTTTTGGTAGAGATGGATTCTATGTGGTCCAGGCTGGCCTTAAACTCCTGGGGTCAAGTGATCCTCCCATCTTGGCCTCCAAAGTGCTGGGATTACAGGCGTGAGCCACCATGCTTAGCCTCAGGGAATTCTTTTTTTTTTTTTGAAAGGAAGTTTTGCTCTTGTTGCCCAGGCTGGAGTGCAGTGGCGCAATCTTGGCTCACTGCAACCTCTGCCTCCTGGGTTCAAGAGATTCTCCTGTCTCAGCCTCCTGTGTAGCTGGGATTACAGGCACTCACCACCATGCTGGGATGATTTTTGTATTTTTAGTAGACAGGGTTTCACTATGTTGGCCAGGCTGGTCTCGAACTCCTGACCTCAGGTAATCTGCCTGCCTCAGCCTCCCTAAGTGCTGGGATTACAGGCGTGAGCCACTGTGCCCGGCACCTCAGGGAATTCTTGTAAGAACTCTGTGAAGTAGGGATCACTATCTTCTTTGTTTTCATGGAAAGAGAGTCCCAGAGATATACACTAACTTGCCCAAACTCACATAGCCCAGAGGAGCATAGCTGGGATCTGGCTGCTGGCCTGCTTAGCTCTGCTTACTCACCTTCTTCCCAGCTTAGGGCAATCCAGTGGGTAGCAGGCAGCCCCCAGTGCCTGCTCAGAGAGGTGCCCCACACGGTAAGGGGGCACTGCGCTAAGGGTGCCTGGCACTGAGAGGCTGGGTGAGAATACCCAGCAGCTTGGAGACAGAATGCAAGGGCACCTCCCTCTTCTGAGAGGATGTCTTGGCTTTCACAGCCCTCTATACCCAGTATATGTCAGGCATCCAGTGCGGACCAGCCCCTGCTAGGCCCTGGAGATATCAAGGCATCCAGGAGGACATGCACAAGGACCTAAGCTGGAATGGGGAACAGTTAAACCATGGCCCCAACCAAACCCTAAGTCAAAGGCTGCAGTGACTTTTCACTCAGACTACCCTTTTTTCAAACCAACAAACAGGCCAAGAACAAAATCAGAACATGCATTTTGGTCTGAGCCATGTTGGCCAGGCTGGTCTCGAATTCCTGGGCTCAAGTGATCCACCTGCCTTGGCTTCCCCAAGTGCTGGTATTACAGAATTGAGCCACTGTGACCAGCCCCAGCCCCAGCCTCTTAATGTTATCCTTGGGAAGTGAGAGTGTAGCTTGACTATGAAATAACATGAAAGTACAAGTTGGCCTGAGGCAAGGGAATGAGACTAGAGAAGTTGGTGCCCAAGGAGCTCCCGCATTGCTGAGGAGCCGTGGTTTCTTGGTAAGCTCAGAGAAGGGGGCCAGGCAGCTCATCTCCTTGTGGACCTCTTCCCATCCCCCAAACACAGCAGAATGTGCTGTCTGCTTTCACCCAGCCTCCTTCCTGGGAAACCAGGCAGCCCAACGCTCAGCAGCGGAACTCCCTCCTCCACATATCCCCGTGGGCTACCAGGCAGGCCCCAGACAAAGGCTGCCTGAGCAGGCTAGGCCCCTCCCATCCCACTCTGCTGTGTCAGGGCCTGGCACACGCCTCAGTGTGGTGACGGCAGCTACCTCTGCCAGCACCTGATCACCTTCCCAGGATAAGCCTGGCTCTGAGTGGTGAGTGAGCATGCCTGACCTCTGTGAGTGCCAGCCCAGGCATGGCCATGCTTGGGGGAGGGGGTGGGGAACTGTAGCATGGCTGAGCTCGCAGAGATGCCTATGGCTTCAGAGAACAGCTGGACCCACAGACCTGTCCCCAAACCTCTGCGCCCCACTGCCCCAGTCTCAACTCAGCCCAGGGGGTAAGGAAGTGAAATTACGACACGGAGGGGAAATCTCTACCTAGGGACGCAAGTTAGGCAGGGATATCTGGCCAAGCTCACCTTCCAAAGCCAGATAGGGAACAGGAATCAGTGAGCACCTGGCAAAGCTCACAAAATGCTGCTTACTAACCGTCCAGAGGAGACCTGCTTTGATCACTAGAAGGGAGTGCTTTGCAACCAGCTTCTCAAATATTGCCCACGATAAGGTCCTTTGATGGTTTTGAAATACTGAGGTGTCTGGGTTATAGAATGTCTTCACTTTCAATATTCCACGTCAAAATGCAGCCTTGCTAAGATCTGCAGGGAACCTGCTGTAATGTAGAGCGGAACTTGCTATGTAATTAGCATAGCAACTGTTCCTGTACCAGTGGGTGCTTCTAAAGTGCCTGAAAACAGTTTGTACTCATTTGCGGTATGAACAAACCTCCTGAAAGCTTGTTTACACCATCGGATTGTGGAGCAAAACACACACAGCCATTATTCCCAAACAAATAGCGCAAAGGCAGCATTTAGACCACAGCCCATCTACCTCTCAAAGCTCTTTGGGGCGAAGTTGACACTGCGACAAGGTATCCCATCCCATCTTTTGGCCCCGGGAAAGGCTAAAATTGGGAAGGAAATGAGTTTGTGTTGGTTGTAGTTCCGAGGGCACGTCTGCTCCCAGCTAAACTCCTGCAGTCAGCAGATGGCCTGAAATAAATCAAACCTCCCCATGCTGCTGCGATGGCGAAGCGGTACAACCTTTTTGGAGGGCAATTTAGCAATAGACTAAAAGAAAATGCACATACTCTTTCGCTCAGCACTTTGACCGCTAGGAACTTACTTACAGATGTACTTGCCAATGAGCCTGGATGCATGCACAAGTTCATTGCTACATTATTAGTTATGCTGAAAATGGAAACAACCTGTCTACCCATAGGGCACTGTGTCAATAAATTTAGTGGGAGCGATGTGATAAAAGCCCAAGCAGAATGGGGTAGGTGAGACAAAGAGCTGTCCAAGCTGGTGGGAAAAGCATTGCCATATGATCGTGTATCTGCTGTATGTTCAGGGAACATAACTAGGACCACAACACGAAGGCCGCAGACAGTGATGATCTCTTTGGAGGGGGTCTTGGTACAAGGGGAGGAGGAGATTGGAATATTTTTTAAACTTGTCCTTTTTTGGTAATTTATTAAGTTTAAAATTGAAAAAACATTGGATAAGGATTCACGTTTTTCTAGGTCTCACCCCAGATGTTTTCCCTGTGACTTACGTGGTGAGATCAAGGGGTGGTGGGTTCCAGAGGCCTCATCCCAGAGCTAAGGGGTCTCTGGGGTGAGCTGGGGCTTTTTATCTATTATGGTAAAACATATATAATGTTAAAGTTGCCACTTCAACCATTTTAAACCACCAGTTCAGTGGCATTAATTACACTCATGATGTGTAATCGTCACCGCTATTTTCTAAACTTTTCATTGCTTAGGCTTCTTTTGACCTTGAACTCTGTGGCGTGGGGTCTGCAAAGGCCCTGCTTTCCCTTTTCAGGGTATAACCTGTAGCCAAGAGTAGTCCAGTTGTCCCTTGTGGGCCGGGATGAGGACTCAGTTCCCTCTCTTGTATGAAGCTGACTCAGCTGTAGGTGACAGGCCTTGCTTCTGTGTGCTCCAGGTGCACATGGCAGCAGGCATGGGACTCTCTTTGAAAGGAGAGCCCCATACCTTCCATGCTTCTGCAGGTCGCTGGGGGTCTAGCTGTGGGACTCTGGGGGCGGGTCCCCCTGCTGCCTAGCCTTCCCTCCCCTCTCTGTGTCTCACTTTCCCCTCGGAGGAGCAGTGAGAATGGGGCTTTACCTTGGCTACCTCTCTGCCCTTTCAGACATCACGGCTGCAGCCCTGGCTACGGGTGCCTGCATTGTCGGAATCCTCTGTCTCCCCCTCATCCTGCTCCTGGTCTACAAGCAAAGGCAGGCGGCCTCCAACCGCCGTGAGTATCCCTAGCTGCCTGGGGTGGGTGGACGGTGTGAGTAACCTGCTCCAGCCCCCAGCTCAGCCTCTGGGGTTGGCAAAGGCATGATGCAGGCACAATTCCTTTCCATTTGCGAGTTGGGAGCTGCTGCACTTTGCCAGGAGCTGGGCGAAACCGCCGAGAAACAGGCGGCATGCCATTTCCAGGGGCCCGAGTGCCCACCAGCCTTTTTGGCTCCCAGGCAGGGCTGGCTCTGCACTCAATACAGGTCTTCTGAATGATCATACAGAGTGGCCCAAGTTGCTGTAGAAAAATGCTGCCACTCGGAGATCCTTGGGGGATCTGCTTTAAGGTATGGGTGTGCTTGTTTTGTAATTTGCAGCAATTGTTGGGACAAAAAATGACCTTTGGAGTGTCAGAAGTGGATAGGGTCTTAGAGATAACGTAGCTCAACCCTTTCTTTTTCCAGATGAGAAAGCTAAGATCAGTGGGGTTACGTAACTGACCAAATGTTACATAACTTAGTGAGTGGCAGAGCTAGGACTCGATCTCAGAGCTTTCAATGCATGCGCTTTCCAGGGAGTAGAAGTCCACCAGATAACAAAAATGCTCTCACTTATTCCTCATTACCACTCCAAGAATTTGGTCCTACCATGGTCCCCATTTTACAGATGAGCAAATGGAGGCACAGAGGGTTAAGTAACTTGCCTAAGGAACCACACAGCAAATAAGTGGTGGGGCTGGACTTTAAGTCATGGGCACAGACATCTTTTACCTCCCACCCTCCCAGTCCAGGTGACAGTGCCCCTTGCCTGGTACCTGACCCCGCCCATGAGTCTTGGTGTTAGTCTGAGTCCTCCAAGAAGGAGCTAGGGAGTTTTTTGTCCTTGTCTCCCCTCCCTGGTCTCTTCCCTTCTGCCTGGTTAGAGAAGTAACTGAGAAAGGATTGCTCTGGCACCAGGTTTTTGGCTCACACCTGATTTCCTGTGGCCGGCCCTTAACAACTTCCATCCCTCCCTCCCCTCATTCCTGGGGTCCCTACATGGAGCCCCACAGTGGGTCGCTCAGGGGCTGTGGCCACCTCACCTTTGCTCTCAGAACTCCCCTGATGCTCTCCTAGAACTCACCACAACCTACCTGCAGGAATACCCATGGCTGGGGGTGGATAGGGTCAGGTAAAAGGCTTGGAACAGAAGAGGAACCCCAGGTAGGAGGGCAGGGGGAGTAGGTATTGCTGTGCCCTGGTGGAAGGCTGGCTCTGAGAGTGTGCTCAGGAATAAGGCTCTCTCAGGAAAAAAAGAAAAGGATAGGGCTGGGAGCCTTGAGGAGGGCAGCTTGCTGCAGAGGCCAACAGGTGTGGATTCCCATCCTGCTTTAGGCGGAGCCTCACTTTCCCCTGCTCTAAAATGGTACCAACAACCCTCACCCCAAAGGGTGGTGGGGAGAATGAGATGAGGGAATACCCATGTGCACCCCCACAAAGCCTGGCCCACGAGTCGACCGTAAACAATAGCCACGATTCGAGTCGATTTCAGGAACTTTTGGGTAACTTCCCTGTGTTTGTTCTGTTGTTGTGCCCCTCCCCCGCCATCTGTTTCCCCATCCTCATCAGTAAGGCTCCTTAAAACGAGAAGCATCTGTGGGAGGACATGGGGTGCTGTGCAAAAGAGGGAAGTTGGGGTCACTGCACCTAGTTGGTGGCCAGTTTTGGGGGTGGGGTGTCCCAAGACTGGGCAAGTGTCAGCAACTTGGAAGAGAAGCAGAAAGTAAGTGAAATGGCTGGGACGTGACGGAGGACTCGCACCTTGTAAGATTTCTCTGCGAGATGTTCCCTTGAATGCCACCCTATTAGCCAATGTAGGGATGGGGCAGAGAGGACCAGGAGCCCTCTAATTAGGAATGGACCTTATACCTCCCATCCAGTAGGTCATGGCTAAAACCAGAACCGGGCAAATGTTCAAACCAAGTGACATCAGCTAGCAAATTCAGGAGCCAGACCTTTGGTCAATACTTAAATCCTGAAGGTCTGACGCTGTGTAAGTCAAGTCATAGGAGAAAGCGCTGGCTGCCTTTGGCTTCCTGATGGCAAACAGCGCTCTTACATGCTTGGAAAATGCAGATAGAGTTTCATTTATCAATCGTCAAAATGGGTCCTTCATGGAGGCCCCATCTGCTAGACAGACACGCAGATCACTGCTGGACAGCGCCCGTGTGAACAGAAATGGAGTCTGGGGCTGGGCAGGGTCCTCCTGGGCTCACTCCTGTTCCCTGCAGGGCATCTGCCAGCAGAGGCAGGGATGTTGTGTGGGGAAGCCTTCCCTTTCGTGACCAGCTTCTCTGTCTGTCTGTCCCTAGGTGCCCAGGAGCTGGTGCGGATGGACAGGTAAGGGCCATGGAAATCTTCTTGAGAAAACTTCCCAGGCCAGTTGTCCAGGAGGAGATACTTCTGTGCAGTAGGGCCCCTGTTTAGCCGCCTAGTGCAGCTGTTCAGAGTCTCTGCCATCTGCTGCTGAAGGCTGCACATCTGTGCGGATTGGCTGTTCTCCTGCCACCCCCACCCAGTGGGCTGAGCTCTGATTCTGTCAGATGTGTCATGCACCCACCTTCAGGTCTCAGTGGTCAGCCTGAGCCAGGAAAGGGACAGAGAGGAAGCAGCTGATCTGGAGCAGACAGTGAAACATGCAAAGGAGGCCAGCAGGCCCAGTCCCAGCCACACCCCTGGAGCTGCGCCTCCTGCCCGCAGAGAACTCCAGGAAGAAAGCCTGTCTGCAACCCAGCTAGCATCTCAGGTTGCAGCGGTATTCAGAAGTTATCCCACTCCCAACCGGGAAAAGAAGAGAACCCCTTCCCTCAGCTCAAGACAGGCTTTGGGGATGTTCGATCCTCATGCAATCAACTCTACTGACCAAAGAGAAACTTGTCCCCAAATTCCTGAGGCTGAAGTCCTGGTTCTGATTTTCGGCTTCCTAGCCGTGCCCGGGGCTGACGGTCAGACCATGGGGAGGAGCTGGGGTCTGCTCTGGTGGGCCCTAATGCCCTCAGCTCAGGGCAGGTGGGCAGGTGCAGCTCGTGGCCATTGCTCTGTGGGTCTGGCTCCTGCCTTCTTGCTTGGGGATGGGAATGTAGGTGAGAGGAAGGAAAGAGAGAAAAGCCGCAGGGAGAGAGGGCAGAGCTTATACTCCAGGCAGCACAGATGACCTTCCATTCTGATTCTGTGGCAGCAACACTCAAGGGATAGAAAACCCTGGCTTTGAGGCCTCATCACCCACCCAGGGAATACCCGAAGTCAAGGTCAGGCACCCGCTGTCCTATGTGGCCCAGCGGCAGCCTTCGGAGTCTGGGCGGCATCTGCTTTCGGAGCCTGGCACCCCCCTGTCTCCTCCAGGTCCCGGGGACGTCTTCTTCCCATCCCTGGGTAAGTGTTTTCTGATCTTCACAGCACCATGACCTGTAAGGTCATGGCCCCATGGCCTGCAGGGTGTCAGCCTCACTCCCCACCCTCCCTGGGGAGTTCTACAGCCTCATGGAGTGGGGTTGAGGGGTGAGGGACAGAGGAGCTCCCATTCACTTTGCTTCTTTTTCTTTTTCGCAGACCCTGTCCCTGACTCCCCAAACTTTGAGGTCATCTAGACCATCTGGGGGACAGTGGGCCGTTGTGACTGGGTCTGGGGCAGGTGGTTTGAGCCAGAGCTGGCTCTGTGAGTGGCCTCCTTGGCCTTGGGCCTGGTTCCCTCCCTCCTGCTCTAGGCCCAGATGCTGCGACATCCCAGAAGCCCAGACCCTCAACCCCTCTGGATGCTACATGGGGATGTTGGATGGCTCAGCCCCTGTTCCAAGGATGTTGGTATGCTGAGATTCTCCCCTAGAGACATGAAATTCACCAGCTACAGATGCCAAATGACTTACATCCTAAGAAGTCTAGAATGTCCAGCCTTGCAGCAGCCTCTCACTCTGAGACATGAGCCTTGGGATGTAGCAGCATCAATGGGACGAAATGGACACTGGGCCACCCTCCCAGGCATGAGACACAGGACATGGGTGGAGAGACTCCTTCCCCATGGCTGCCTTGGCTCCCCCATCTTGTCTGAGGCTGCTCTTCAGTCAGACTCCCTCTGTGTACCATGGTGGCTCTGGGACCAGGCCTGCCTGACCAGTGGCCATCGCCACCTTCCCCAGCTGCCTCCTACCAGCAGTTTCTCTGATGACCTGTCAACAGGTTAGCCAATCTGGGGCTTCCACTGCCTGCATTCCAGTCCCCAGAGCTCAGTGGTCCTAAAACAGGAAGTACATCTTGGGGCATGGTGGCTACTGTGAGCAAATGGTGTCTTGGGCAATCTGAGGCCAGGCCAGATGTTGCATCACTCACCGGAGATGGCGGTGAGGGAGGTGGGTGGGGCCTTCTAGGAAGGTGAGAGTAGGGGGCACCTGTCCCCGCCCTCGCCATCCCCTATTCCTGCTGTTCATTGTGGGCCATAGCAAGGGTGCCACAGAATATCTTGTCCACCCTGGGACACTTCTGAGTTTGAAGTGGGATGCTATTAAAAACTACATGGGGCAACAGGTGCAAACCCTGTGGATGGATTGTAAGAGCCAGTTAAATCCGCACTCTGCTGCTCCTCCCACACTCCCACCTTCCACTCCATATACTAAGCCTGGTGGAGTCTTCATGGCAGAGAGACCCGGCCAGGTGGGGGTGATGTTCTCCCATCTCCCGCTTGCAGGCATGCCCTGGATTTGTTTTTATACACGTAGGCAAGGATAGTCCTTTGTGGAATTGTGAATGAAGGATTTTAAAGCAGGGGAGGAGAGTGGGAGGCATCTCTGCACACTCTGGGAGTAAAACAGGGAAGGCAGTGTCTGAGCATGGGGAAAGGGGAGGTGGGGCTGGGCAGACCCTCTCTAGCATTGAGCTGGGCATGGGTGCTGAACGCCAGGATTTGGGGCTAGGCAAGGGGCCAGCAGGCAGGGAGATGTCCACCGAATTGCTTGGAGGGTCAAGGGGATGGGAAGGGGCAGCAACTCTAGGCTGTCTGGCAGCAGTGAGCCCTGGGCCTGTGACTACAGCCAGGGAGCCCCACCGGCACACATGGCCCTGCCTCCAAGTCCCCCGCTTAGGCCCAAAGGAATGGGCCACTGAGGGCCTCCTGCTATGCCTGGGCTGGGCTGGGGGCCTTGAGGAGAAAGTAAACACAGGCCTGGAGATGGGACTGACACTCAGGTGGCCAGAACACCCAAACCCTGGCTTCTCCTTTGTCCCTGGGCAGAGAGGGGGGGACCCCTTCTTTTATTTCCTCTGCCACCATCGATGCTTGATGCCAGCTGCCACAGGAAGAGGGTGCTGGCTGGGCACAGTGGCAGACACCTGTCATCCCAGCACTTTGCAGGGCTGAGGTGGGAGGATCGCTTAAGCCCAGGTGTTCGAGGCTGCTGTGAGCCGTGTTCAAGCCACTGCATTCCAGCCCGAGGGACGGAGCAACACCTTGCCTCAAAACGAATTTTAAAAAGAAAGAATGAAGGAAAGAGAGTGTGTTTTTGACAATTTGCAGGGCAGGAGTGGGGATGAGACGCCTGCTCCCCCTGGAGTCGAAGGACAAGCCCACAGCCCAGATTCTGGTTCCCCTAACTCAGGAAAAGCGTGCCCTGTCCTTTAGGGAGGCTGGCCTGGTCCCAGCACTCAGCTTCTGACCTCGAGGCAGAGAAAACTTCTAAGAATTTGGCTGCCAGACCCCAGGCCTAGCTGCTGCTATGTCGAGAGGGAGGCGGCCCGCAGTAGAGCAGCCGCCACACTTCCTCCCCAGCTTCCTCTGGTGCGGCCCTGCCCTCTCTTCTCTGGACCCTTTCACAGCTGAACGCATCTGGGCTTCGTGGTTTCCTGTTTTCAGTGAAATTTACTTTGAGCTCCCAGTTCCATTGTCATCCATGGTCACAGGCCCTGCCTGCAGTGTGCTAGGGACACCATGCCTGCTGCTGCCAGGGAGGGGCAGGCTGCTGAGTCGCCTGGGATGGTGGTGCCCCTGATGCCAGCCCTGGTGGCTATGGGCTGGGGTGCACAGGAGAGCTGGGTGTGAGAACATGGCGCCTCCAAGGGGTGGGAGGAGCACTAGGGCCTGGGGAAGGGCGGGGCTGGGGCAGGAGGCTCCTGGAGCGCTGGATTCTTGGCCCGGTGCTTTTAAGAAAAAATTCAGTGTTAGGAGATCAATCGGGAATTAGGGGCCATCTTACCTATCTCCCGACATTCACATTTTAATAGAGACTTCCTGCCTTTCTTCCCTCGCAGGGAGAGGCTGAGGGAATGGAATTGGAAGCACCATTAAGAGTGGTTTGCTGACGCAGCCAGGGCTGCTCGGCACTCCCTAAAAACACACCATGGAGGCCACTGGTGTCTGCTGGTGGGCAGGCTGGCCCTGCCTGGGGGAGTCCGTGGCAATGGGCACTGCGGTGGGCATGTGGGAGCCCTGGGACTGCTTTTCAAAGACTCCTGCCTGGTTGGAGCTCCTGCTCCATGCAGCAGCGAGGGCCTGGGCAGAGGGGCTGATGCCTGGCCTTCTTCAGGGGGTACTCCTCGGTGGGTAGACTTGGAAGGATCAGTGGGGCGGGGGGCTGCAGGGGTCTTGCCACCACCCTGTACCAACTTGGCCCCTGGGGTCCTGCGTCATGAATGAGGCCCTCCTGGGTGTTGGTTGGGGCACCCCAGGGCTGGCCTGACTGTGCTGGGGGCTGGGGAACCGCAATGGGCAAAAGAGGAACTGGGGTTGCTAACCAGGACGCTGGGAACAAAGGCCTCTTGAAGCACAGCCACAGCCCAGCTGAGCATGGGGTCCAGCCCACAGACAGCACAGGCCACCCGGCCCATTCCCTGGGCATTCCCTGCTTTGCAGTGCTGCTTCTCTTCACCTCGTGGATGCTACGTTGCCCTAACTATCCTGTGAGTTCCGGGAGGGCAGGGTCCAGTTACAGCCTGGCTTTGGACCTTGCTGCAAGGCTGATAACTGACCCATACATAGCTTCTGGGTCATGCGCTGCCCCAGATGCCAGGTTCTGTTCTTAGAACCTCTCTCAGTGGGTGGGGCCCCCTCTGACTTTCCATCAGCTCCAGCTCCCAGCAGCTTTGTGTGGGACTGGTGGGAACTCCTCAATAACAATAATGCCCTCACCTTGTACATCGCGGGACAAACATTTGTGCAGTCCATGGGACAGACATTTTTTTTTGTAATTCTCATCTATTGTTACGGCTTTCTGGAATATGTCAAGAGGGATTCTGAATGATCGATATAGCTTAGTGAGAAAGTGACAAGATAGATAGCAGTGTCCGCCTCAGGCACAGGAGAGGGAGGTGGCCACGTGTGTGCTGTCTCTTGGCCCTTTCTGTTATAATACTTGGTGCTTTCCAACACACTTTCACATATGGTATTACTTGTTTGATCCACCCCCTTCCCTGAAAATTTTGGGTGGTTTTATTGCTGGCATTTAACATGCAGGGCAATAGAGGTTCTGAAAGGTCTGTGTCTTGTCAAAACAAGTGAATGGTGGAACTAAGACTAAACCCTGGGTCTCCTGCTCTCTCTTCACTGAATGGAGTGGTATTATGGGCCAGGATCTGGCTTGGCCTTCCCCTTGGACTTGCCTAGAGCACATACCAGGGCTCTGGGAGATGACCTTGTGCCCACAGGTCCAGGGCTCCACTGTACTGGACACCAGAAATGTTCCTATCTGTGCTCTGCCTGCCCTGGTCTGGGCCTTCTCCTGGGTCCAGAAGACCCTGCTGCTGATGGGTAGCCTCCTTCCACATCAGCTCCTGGCAACTGTGGAGCCAGAGGACTCCTGATAGGCACAGTGGCCCAGGCACCCCTCTTGCTTGCATTAGGGGATGGGGAAGGGAGAAACCCTCAGCAGCTGAGCCCCAGGTGCTCTCGGAGGAACTTAGCCAGTTGCATGTGCAGCATTTAGGCAACTGCAGAACATCCCTCAAGAAGCCAGGCCAAAGGAAGGGTCTGGATGTTCTTGTGCTGGGTCAGGGAAGGCCAGCCTCCTTGGTGCCACAGAGGGCGAGGGCCAGGCTGGGATCTTCTGATCTCATGCCAGGGGAAGCAGAGTTCACAATAGCAGCAGGGTCTAAGTCTAATAAACATAAGGGCCCTCTGCCCTAAAGATATGAGGTGCACTGCCAAGAGTAGTGTCCCCAGCTCATAGGCTGTCATGGGGCTGCTGTGGGTGACTTGCATACCAGAAGGGGGCGGTGGGAGATTTCTGTCCTTCTGCCTGGATAGGTGACTTCTGCAGGTCCTCACTAGCCTGAGAAGCCGGGGCATCTTATCTGGAATAGTATTATCTGCTGGCTGCAATTCATGGGGCGGGGAGGCCATGGTCAGGCCCTCCCTCCCTCACCATCCCACTGCCAAGTGCCTCTGAGGCTGGGCTAACTCCTGACCTCCCAGTTGCCTTCTGTCCTTCCTCCCTGGGCCCAGCTCTTCCTCTGCAGGGACCTCCCTGAGAACCACTCTGACCCTTCCCCCAAGCCTGGCCTCTCTGCCCATGGCCTGGAGCCAGGCAGGGGCTGAGGCTGCACAATGACTTTCCCTGGCTGGGTGGCACCCACTGTGTGGCAGGCCTGGGGCTGTCCCGGATACCCCTTGCAGCACAGCTGTTCCGAGTTCGGGTGATACGGGCTAAGGCAGGGCAGATGTGGCCTAGGCTGTTTGCAGGAATGTCCAGCTCTCAGGAAAACTGGGGAGAGGAAGTCCAGGGAAAAAAGCAGAGACGGAGGGACGCAGAGAATTTCTCTTGGCTCTGGGGAGGGTCCTAGCAGCCAAATCCTAGGCCCCCTGCTTAGGGAGCCTCATCTTTCAAGACAGAGATGCAAATGATGCCTCCTCCAGAAAACCTGCCCTGGCTTCCCGGCTCCTAGTACTCTACCACATCACAGCGTCAGCCCTCCGTTACATGTCACAGCATCAGCTCTCTGTTACACGTTACACGGCGTCAGCCCTCCGTTACGTGTCACAGCGTCAGCTCTCTGTTACACGTTACACGGCGTCAGCCCTCCGTTACGTGTCACAGCGTCAGCTCTCTGTTACACGTTACACGGCGTCAGCCCTCCGTTACGTGTCACAGTGTCAGCTCTCCATTACACATCAGCTCTCCGTTACTCCGTTTGACTGTAGGCTGCTGGAGGGCAGACCAGTCCCTGTAGTATAAGCGTGGCACATACTTAGTGTTAGATGAACAAATGAATGAATCTCTCATGCCCTTGTCCTCCAGCAAGGTTGGTCCTGAGCCAGTGAAGGCTGTCTTGAAGCTAAGCAGATAACTGCAGTGGGAATAAAAAGATGGCATATGGGCCTGCTGGGTTTCTCTGGGATGATCTGTGCAGGGTAGCAGCTGCTCTCTCACCCATTAGACTGTGGCAGCCATTCCTGGAATCTCAGGGTGGTTGGCCGCATGCTGCTCAGGCCTCTGCTTGCTCTAGGAGGGGCTGGAACAATGCTCCTTCGTCACACACACATCCAGTGAAATCTGCCCAATGGCAGAGAAGGGCCCTGCCCTTGAGGCTATTCATAACCCTGAGGGGTTCACTGCCCAAAGGTGAGAGTCTAGTCAGTGGAAGCAAATCTTCAAGGGTCCAGTGCTCCTTGGAGGCAAGCTACCCTGGTGGGCATTGTGGGCTGCAGGACCCCTGCTTGCCAGCTCTGCCCCATCCCCACCTTGGCTCAGCTAAGCCTGGAGGCAGTAGAGGGGGTTCTTGAGAAGGTGGTGTGATCAGCCCCCATGGTAAGCCCCACACAGACTGTCCTGGGAGGATATGGAGATAGAGAGCCCTGAGCCTAAGCTACCTGTGGCTCCCGGAACCCACCCCTGATGATTGCTTGCTCTTCAGCCTGTGTGCAGGCTGAACCCCAGAATATGCTTCTTTCTTGGCTGTGCTAACCAAGATTGACCAACAAGACTCTGCCCAGGTGTCACCTCCTCCAGGAAGTCTTCCCCAAGCCCTTCTCAGTGCCCCATTGCATGCTGGTGTTCTCATTGCCTCCCTTACTGAACTGCATTTCTTCAGGCCACAGACCACATTGTCTTCTATAGATATATCTCTACATCTCCAGTGCCTGGCACACAGTGGGCATTTAGGGAACAACAGCTGAATGAATGAATGAATGAATGAATGAGTGAATGAATGAACAAATATGGCTTAGTGCTAGTTTCTCAAACTATGTTCTTATGGTCACTACAATTCTTTACTGAGGTGTCCCCTGCAAAACCCAAATGTTAGGAATATTTTCCCCTCTTGGAGAACCAGGGGGATAACATTGAAGAGGGATAGATTCTTTTCAACTTAAAATTGTTTTCCTGGCTGGGCATGGTGGCTCATGCCTATAATTCCAGCACTTTGGGAGGCCAAGGCAAGCAGATCACAAGGTCAGGAATCAAGACTGTCCTGGCCAACATGGTGAAACCTCATCTCTATTAAAAAATAACAAAAATTAGCTGGGTGTGGTGATGTATGCTTGTAATCCTAGCTACTTGGGAGGCTGAGGCAGGAGAATCCCTTGAACCTGGGAGGCAGAGGTTGCTGTGAGCCGAGATCACAACACTGGACCCTAGCCTGGCAATAGAGTGGGACTCTGTCTCAATAATAACAAAAATTTTTCTGTAAATCTTTTGAGTTGGTACCTGTTGCTGTTTGTATTACAGTCTGGAAGAAAGCTTCATGGTTCAGCCCAGGAAGCCCCATACATATTCCCCTGGAGATGAATGGCCTCAAGGTCACTGGTCCTAGTCATCCTGAGGGTATTTTCTGGGGCTTCAGGGAGCAGAGCTGGTGATGATCAGGATGAGCAGGGCTGATGCCACCCAGTTTCCCACACCAGGGAGCTAGTATGGGCCGAACCCTGCTTTAAGGAGAGCCAGAATGTCAGGGGCTGAAATGTGAGGAGGTAATGCTTATGGTCCCCAAGGGGCTGGGATGGGTCCTTGCAGAGGGTTTGGCCAGCAGATGGAAACACTTTTTAGCCATGGGGACCAATCCCAAGATTTTAAAGGATTGCTTGGATAGTGGCCCATGCATTCTGAGTGATTAAATGTGGCTGGGGTGATTTTCCATTTCTTCAGTTCCTATTTATTCTGGGGACCCAAAGGAAGTCTGATTTTGCCTCTAAACTGCAGGGTCTTAGAATGTTATGGATCCCACCGACGGCCTCCCTGGGAGATTTAGGACTGTGGGGGTGGGAGTGGGGGTGGGGAGTGGGGGTGGTATGTTGATTGGCCTGCGTTAGCATTGGGGATGGCAGAGTGGCAAATGCTGTCAGATGCCCTCCCCAAATCCATTCTCTACCTCTTCCTCACTGACAGACACCTGCTTTTGTGTGGGCAGTGATATATCTGATCCCCAAGTAATATGCCGACCATGATAATCCTGTCCCTCATTTTTCCTAACCTCCCTTGCAGCTAGGGTACCCGTGTGAGCCACTTCTGCCCAAGGAGACACAAGTAGCACTCTGGAGGGTGGTTCTGGGAAACCTGCTGCTCTGCTGATAAAAAGGCAGAAGCAGCTGCCATAGCTGTTTGTCATTCTTTTGTCATCTTCCTGCCTGGATGCTGACTTGATGCCTGGAGTTATAGTAGCCACCTCGAAACAATGAGGGAAAGGCCAAGAAACACGAGCTCCGACATCACTGAGCCCGAAATCAACATTCTCTGTAGAATTTTTGCTCTGTGGGAAAATGCATTTTGATTCTTTCTGACTCCACGGTTCGGTTCCTGTTGCTTCACAAGTGCTATTAAAGAGATGACCAAGATGAAGCCAGGAGCAGTTGCGGAGCGGTTATGTCGAAACGGGGTCCTTCCATGTTAAGACAATAAATGATACCCCTTTCTGCCCCAGCCCCACCCTGTCCAGTGAGTGATGCGTGTCCTATAAATGTGCCCCTCTTTAGCCCACTGGGTGTGACTGGCTGAGGTGGCTAGTGATGACACTGTGCAGCCGTGGGGCTAAGGATGCCCACAGGGCTGCCCAGAGTCAGTCCCACTGCCCAAACTCCTCAGAATGTTGTGGTGGGGGTGGGGGGGGTCCCTGGATTGTTGGCCCAATCCTAATTCCTGGGATTACTGGACCAACATCTCCAGATAAGCTCCAGATAAAGAGCCCTGGCCAGACCTGATGTGACCCCGCCTCCCACAGTGCTGCTGTCAAAGGGGAGGGGTCTGACCTGCTGTGACAGGGACAGAGCTGAGACCTCATTTGCAATCAGGGTCCTTCCAGATCACAAAAGTGTCCCTGAACTCTCACCTTCCTGCAGCCATACCCTTTGCAGTGTGACTGTCGCTCATTCCTTCAAAAGGTAGAGTTTATGTCCCCATAACTTGAGTCTGGGCTGGACTTGTGACTTGCTTCGGCCAACAGACTGTGG